CCAACCTTATTAAACATCTGCTTTCTGGAGAAGCAGAACAGGTTGATTTTCACGAACTGGTCACACCTGCTTCTTCTCCATCATTTTTGTCCTTCCATCTCCCTTTGGGCAGGGCTTCTGGGATGAAGAACTCAGATGATGGGGTAGTTTTGTGCTGTTTTTGTCTTTCCAGCACCCACATGCCCTCCTCTGGGCATCAGCCAACCCCCTGATTTCCTGCGGTGACTCATAGATCCCTAAGGTTTGACCAACTCTGAGGTTTGAGAGACTTCAGCTTCATCCCGCCTCTAGGAACAGGCACGTGACCTGGCCTGGCAAATCAGAGCAGCCCAGCCCTGCAGCTGGGGTGACCGGCCCAGGGAAGGGCACGGGACACAAAAGGAAATTTTTTTCTCACGGCTCCGGAGCCTGGGAGTCCAGGATCAAGGTGCCGACAGATTCACTTTCTGGTGAGACCCCTCTGCCTGCTAGCTGTCTGGTCACTGTGTCCTCACATGGCAGAAGGGGCAGGGGGCTCCTGGGCGCATGTTTAACAAGGGTGCTAATCCCACTAATCACCTTCCATGGTCCCCACCTCCTAAAACCATCACATTGGGGGTTCGGATTTCACACTATGAAGTCTGGGGCAACGGTCCGTGGCAGATACTGATCTGAGACATATGGGGACTATTGGAGAACATCATGTCCCTTCTGTCACTGCTCCACTAGTCGGTAATAACCTGCGTCTTGGGGGAACTACAGTGAAAGCACAGGGAAGAAGCCAAGAGATGAATAAGATAGTTTCCTTTCGAAGAGATTTTAAATTTGAAATAATTTCAAGCATGCAGAAAAGCTGAAAAAAAAAAAAAAGTACATTGACCCAGAACTGCCAAGCATAAGGACCTTTCACATGTGCTGGATTGTAAAATTTTCATTAATTTAATAGATTTCATTAAAAAAATGAATAAAACAGTTTGACCATCCAAGATCCCAGAGTAAGCTGTCGTCTTACTCTCCGGAGAGTAATTCTTGAAGGACAGCCATCGTTTCAAGAGAGAAAAGCGACAAACGCTCTTCTCAGAAAAAGAATGAACGTTTTTCGTTCAGACCAGAGCTGACAGATGAACGTGTCGGTGTTGAAGGCCGCTCGTACAGCTTGGGGTAAACTGAGTCCCATTCACTCAGCCGTCCTCATCCGTGGCTGTCTCCGTCCCCTGGCTGGTCGATTTCAGCCTTGTGAGTGGCATATGTTCAGTAATTTATTGCTAATGTGGAAGTTATTAGAGTTTGAAATGTCAGTTATGTACACAGCTGAGGCTGATGGTTAGTTAGCACTACAACGTTTCTCTTTGGGCCAGGCCTTATTCTAAGAACTTTAAAATGCCTTCTTGAGTTGGAGAGAAAAGAAAGAAGTGATAGCCTATTTATTTATTTATATTTAAATATTTTATTTCTTTTTTAAAAGATTTTATTTTTTTGGAGAGGGAACGGAGGGAGAAAGAGGGGGAGAGAAACAGCAATGTGTGGTTGCCTCTTGTGCGCCTCCTACTGGGCAACTGGCCCATATACCAGACATGTGCTGTGACTCGGAATCGAACCAGTGATCCTTTGCTTTGCAGGCCGGAGCTCAACCCACTGAGCCACCCCAGCCAGGACATGGTTTTCATCCTTGCAGTCATTTGGGGGTATCACTAAGCTGTAGATTTGTTTAGCAAGACCATGCTATGCTTTGCGTGTGTTGTCACAGGGAAATGTGTTGGGAAACTCTGGGCTTGCACAGGGCTTCCTAACTCTCTGTAAGGGCTGCCAGACCCCTGACCCCTGTACCCACTCATCAGGACTCATCAGAAAGTGACCCTCCAATCAAAACTGGCTTAAACGACAATGGGAAGTTGTCAACTTTAATAACTGAAAGGCCAGGGGTTCGAGCTGACCTCAAATGTGCTGAGATCGGGGGTCCAAGACCCCGCCTCCCAGCTCTGCTCTCCCTGCTATTGACGTTCTTCTCAGGCCGCATGGTGGCAGGGTGGCTGCCAGCATCCTCTGAGGCTCAAGTCCAACAGCAAAGAGCCTCTTTTCTAGAAGCTCCCTCAAAGTGTGCTGGGATTCAGGCTCATTTATCTGTACTTGAATCAACAGATCGCTGCGACCAGCAGGACACCACGTGCTGATTGTGCTAGGCCTGAGTCACGACGTCCTGCTCTGTTCTGTGGGTTGGGAAGGCCCAGTGCGAACACATGGGTAATGGACGGGGGAGAGAAGAACCCTTCCAACACAAGCGGACCTATTACAGAGACATGATGCTAGAAAGGCAGTCCACAGGTGTCTATTCTGCCCCAAGTGACCACCTCGAAGATGCCCAGAAAGAACCAGGTGAAGGGGAATGCGTGAATAAGAGCCAATCTATCCCCGAGAGTGGGAAAAAAACAACCCCACAATTCTCAAGAAAACAGATGATGTTATGACATGTCACGGGTGGTGAGGAGCCAGGGAAGCTGATTTTTCTTCGCCGGAAGACTTCTCAGAAAGCAAGTGACAGCGCGTGGCTTCCTCTGGGTGACACGGCAGGTTTTGCCACACTGCTTCCCCGTTGTCCTTCGGTCCCGTTTCACTTTCGACCCCTTCCTTCAGGCCTGCTTTGTTGGACCACGGGTTTGTGCTGGTCTTAAAGGAAATACCTGATTTTCTCGTAGCATCATCTAGAATGCATCCTGTAGTCTGTCAGAAAACGCTACTGCAGTTAATGAAGCCAGATGGTGGGGCGGAGGGCCGGGAGCGGGTGTGTGTAGGGTGTTTGATTTTTCACAATAGGAGGCCCAGAAGCGTGACAGGCGGGAGCTGATATGGTGACTCAACTATGCTGTCAGGGACACAGGCTATTTATACCTTCCAGTCCCTAACCCTTAGCTATGTACCTTTGTTCTCCAGCTAGGCCACTCCTGCCACAAGATGGCTGTGGTGTTACTACCTTACTACCTGGCTGTATTCATGTCCAGTCAGGAGACGGGAGACAGGTCAAGCCTCTTTTTTTTTTTTTTTTTTAAATGTGAGGCCTTGCGCCCTGGCTGGTGTGGCTCAGTGGATTGAGCACAGGCCTCTGAACCAAATATCCACGGTTCTATTCCCAGTCAGGGTACATGCCTGGGTTGCAGGCCAGGTCCCAGCAGGGGACACACGAGAGGCAACAACACATTGATGTTTCTCTCCCTCTCTCCTTCCCTTCCCCTCTAAAGATAAATAAATAAAATCTAATAAATAAATAAATAAATAAATAAATAAATAAATAAATGTGAGGCCTTGCTTTGTATGTGAAAAGTATTACATTTTATATATATATAAAATTTCTGCACATGGTAACTTCCATGATCCTTATAACCTCCTCCACCCAGCAACGGGCTTTGATTTTACCATCTGGGAAGTAAACACATCAATACCTAGCTTATATCAGCTCCAGGTGGCAGGCTGTTTAGTGACAGTAGTGACTTTGTCTCTTGTTCACTGGGTTCCCGGGAAGGTGCCTAGCACAGTGCCGGAGCACAATGGGAACCAAGAAAGTTTTGTGGAATGAGTTCCCCTGGACTCTTGTACTCCCAAAGAGCAGGTTCTTGGCAAACAGGGGGAGGTGGTTGCCAGTAAATGGAAGCTGGGCCCTGGCTGGTGTGGCTCAGTGGGCTGAGCACAGGCCTGTGAACCAGAAGGTCGCCCTTGAATTCCCAGTCACTGCACACGCTTGGGTTGCCGCCCAGGTCCCCTGTTGCGGATGTGCGATCGATATTTCTCTCCCTTTCCTTCTCCCTCCCTTCCCCTCTCTCTAAAAATAAATAAATAAAAACATTAAAAAATAAATGGAAGCTAGTATTATTGGAATCAAACGTGGTTAGGAACAAGATCTTTCACTGATGTCATCTACTAGGGACGCTTTGGTGAGGAGGGAGAAGGCTCTTTTACTGAAGAAAGATGTCCGAGTGGAGGCCACTCTGGAGGAAGAGATTACGCCAGGCGGAGTCTTGGGTGGACAAAGTAAGTTCTGAGCAGAAAATTTAACGATGGTGTCGGCGGCGGCGAATGAAGTTGGCAGGGAAGGAGGGGCATGGGGTGGAGGATAACGCGAAACAAAAAAAAGAACGCTCCCCCAACGCATTTTCGTCTTAATCTTTCCCTAATCGCCACAGCCCTGCAAGTGTTGTAGTGCTGCTCCCATATTGCGAATGGGACCCAGAAGCAAAACACACGCACCCAAGCGTGGGCACGGCTCCCAGGCTTCAGCTTCCTGCGGGGAAGCCCCGGGATGAGATCAAGGCGGACGTACCACACCTGCAAGGACAGGTAAACACGGAGAAGGCGATGAAAATGTCGTGAGGGTGGTGAGATTGTGGGCTACCAGAAACACCTAAACAGCGCTGACATTATCTTTTAAAGAATAATTCTGCCAACCTAGGAACAGGGTTGAACGAAACCAAACGTTTTTTCCAGCCGCGACCTCCCCGCGGAGGACTGCCTTATCCACCGGGCTCGAGATCAGTCAAGACTCCAGGATGCACCTCAGACTCCGGGGCAAAGTTCCTGAGTCCTTAACCGGGGTCCCAACGGATTCCACCGCAGGTTTCCAGGGTTCCAACCAGCAACACCCCACCCCTCCGCCCCGCCCTCGCCGCAGGCAGATCGCCTACCACTGGGCCTCTCCCGCGGTTAAAGAGCACCGCCTACTGGCGCTCAAACTCTCCACCGCTTGGCCCCGCCCCCGAACGAAACGCGCATGCTCCCCAATTCCACTCCGCCTTCCCCGCTTCTCGCGACAGCCACCCAGAGGTGGCCTGAGTCTCGCGATAAAGGCTCATTGTCTCGCGGGACCGCGCCGGCAGACGGGCTCTCGGGTGGCCCTTGCCGGAGAAGAGGAGTTGCATGTGTCGCTTCAGCTGGCGGTAGTGGCGGGTGCGGAGGCGTCGGCGGCTGTAAGACCGCCTGGGTAACGACCCCTCGGGCTTTTCCCACTTCGGAGAAATTCGTGTAGAGAATGTGGGGAAAGCCGAGGTGTAGCTCGGCGGAAGGGGGCCGGGCGTCTCCACATCCCCGCCCACATGGGCCCCCGCAGGTGCCCCCGGGGTTGCCCCTTCGCTTCAGATCTCCGCTCTCACACCGGGGCCGCCCTTGCCACACCAGTGCCGCGACTTTCTGCCCCTTCCCGACTCTCCTGCCCCAGTTTCCCTCTGGAGTCTCTGGACTCCCCACCCCCTCCCGCTCCCATCCCCTTTCCTGGACCCTGCCCTCCGGGCATCTCCGGCGGCCCACCCCTTCTTCATAGGTTCTTTTCTTCCACCTGCGGTGTGGCTTGTCTCTCTTGCTGCCCTGTGCACCCCTTCCACACCACCCCAGACCTCTTGCCCTGTCTCCGCCGAAGTTGTCCTCGCATCCTTTCCCCCCCATTATAGTTCCTCTTTTACTAACGCCCCCTCCCCGGCCCCATTCACTTGCTTCCCTGTAGACCTGATACAGCAGGGCGTGGCCGGAATTGCTCCTGTTTGGCGAATTCTCCTGGCGGCTGGTATTCCTCACTAGGCCACAGAGATGAAGCAGATTTGGGGTGGGGGCCCTTGGTGGGAGGAGGGGAGAGCAGCCCCGAACACTGCTTCTCTGGCGTCTTGGTCCGGAACTGTGAAGGGGTGTTCTTTTCCCTGCCCACAGGTGCGTGAGATGGCTGCTGACATTTCTGAGGCCGGCGGGCAGGACTGCAGAGGCGACCCCAGGGGCAATCCCAAATCCGACGCAGATTACCCCCTGCGAGTCCTTTACTGCGGAGGCAAGTGCTGCAGGCCGGAGAGTGGCCCTTTTCCTGACTGTGTCCCTTTGCCTTGTGATGATAGAGCCGCACTCGGTCCTCCTGAGCCTTTTCCAGCTGCCTCTGCCATTGGGTGGGTCCTTAACTGGGGAGGGGGCTGTGGGCGAAGAGAAGGCGCGGGGATTAACCCATTTCCTGACCTGTGTGACTAGTTGTTGCTACTTGTCCTGGGGAAGCTCGTGGTCCCCTCAGAGAAGAGACAGGGAAAGAGTTATTTCATCCTGGCGCCCCTGGCCAGTCCGGCTGCTGAAGGAGGGCTTCTCCCAACACAGATGCTGGGTCTTACCGCGTGGCAAGGAGGCGGGGAAGAAAAAAGTATGTGGGGGGTCGGGAGAGGCGATGCCACAGAGTTCAGGAATTGTCCCCACACGTCCTTCCTCCAGTATCTTTGATGGTGAAATAAAGTTAGTATCAAATGCCTCAGTAAGAGAGTAGGGGAGCCTTTCGTAGGGTTGGTTGAGTCTTGCTACAGTATGGATTTTATTTGGTTATATCGTTTGCCTTTGGGGTCACACGACGTTGTACGAGTCACCTGGTTTCCCTGAGGGCTAGAGGTGTGTTTCTCGGGGTCTGTGAAATGAAGATGGTGGCCTCTCGAGTCAGATGGTTTGTACAATATAAAGCTTCTGGTACAGCGTCCAACGCAAGAACACAGCGCAGTGAGCACTGTCGCTGTTACTATTATTATTACCATCAGAGAAGTGTACCAGTGTAGTCAGGAGCTGTCCTTGTGTCCTGTTTGGTCAAATTGGAGACTTCATATTTTGTAAGATGTGCTATTATTTTAGGTTCCACTAAGGAAGAAAAAATGGTCAGATTGACACAGCATATTCTAAGATTATCCTTGGAAAAATGAAAAAAAGAACCTCAGAATTGGCGAAATGCAGTGCCTTGTCTCTCCTGAGGTGGCTTTTGAATAACTGTGGCAAAGATGCCACTGCCCTCCCCCTCCCCGCCCCCCGTGGTGCTTTCTGTTGGCCAGAGGTTTCTGGGCATTTTGAGAAAAGTTTGTTTTCACTTCACTCCCCAGTTTGTTTTGATCGTCCAGACACTGGGATGGAGACTGAGTTAATTTTTCCTCCAGGGCTTGGAGGTCCAGTTCTGGCAAAGCATTTAGGGAATGTTAAATGTTTGAGTAATTGGTGAACTGACTGTGACTATGAATTAGGAGTTCGGGAAAGGGAAGGATCTTTGTTCAGAGGGAAGTAGGGAATTTCCAAGGACGTGGGAAACCGTGGGCAGTAGGTAGACTTTGGGGAAAGGTGAAGGAGCTCACGAGAACAGTGTGGCGGCAGGTGTGGCACGGGGTCCTGGGGAAGAGGGGAGCGCAAGGACTGGTGGGAGCAGAGTGCTGGTTGGGGTGTGGTGAGAAACGAGGGTAGCAGGGCCGGGTGGGGTCATTTCTGGGAAGACAGTCGACTTTGGTTTTGAGACTTCCGACTGAAGTCAGTCTGAGTTGGATTCCTGGCTTGGCCATTAGCTCCTTGTGTGACCTTGGCCCATTCCCACATTTATAAAATGGGTAACAATGGAGACTACTGCAGAGCGCTGTTGCAAAGAATAAATGAAGCGTAATACTCCCAAAGGCTCCACCTGCTGATACCATGGCGTTGGCTAAAGGATCTCAAGGGACACGAGAACTCTTGCGGGACACGAGTGTTCAGACTAGAGCAGGAAGTTTCGTGGGTGGCGGTGCCTTGTCCTCCGTGCATCAGGAGGGACGCAAGGTCAGGTGCTCTGCTGAGTGATGTGAGGTCGGCGGGGGGCTGCGCAAGCTTTGTCTTGAAAATCGGGTTTATAAGTAGCGAGCGATCTGTGGAGGGAAGCTAATTTTAAACACAGAACTTAGAAGGATTGTCCAGATTTTTTCATTGTGTTAGAGTTTCCTGAACTGAGTGTTATTTGAAATGGTGTATCAAGTTTTATAGCTTTAGTATTTGTTGTAATGATATTTAACCTATAATTTATACTGCAAATATGGCCAAATACCTGCACCTACTAGTACTTGACCTTGAACCATGTGGGTTATAGAGCTCTGCTTAACTGGGGAGAGTTCTAGTAAACTTGAGGTAGAGACGCTAGAGTCCAGTTTCCTCCTGCCACATACCTGTGATCCTGCAGGTGGTGACCTGTGTCATCGGATGAGCTGCTCAGCCTTTTTTATGGGGCTTCATCTACAACGTGCGAAGCAGGTCACTGTCGTCTGACTGGCACGTGGCTGCTGCCCGTGGGTGTTGTGTGACCTTCAGTGGGGAAGGGCGTGAGCTTCAGAAACAGACCACGGTTCGCGTCTTGCTCCACTAACTCTGGGCCCATGGCTTGTTTACTCTAAGTCTCGTTTTTGCACCTGTATCTGACAGATAAAATCATTCTTAGTTTGTAGGATTGTGACAGTTAAACATGGATAAAAGGCACAGCAAAGTGCCCAATGCAACAGGTGCCCAGCATGTGGGCACTGCCACTCTTAGTGACAATGTGCCGCTCCTCGCCCTCCCGCATCTCCTTGCCCTCCCGCATCTCCTCGCCCTCCCGCATCTCCTCGCCCTCCCGCATCTCCTCGCCCTCCCGCATCTCCTCGCCCTCCCGCATCTCCTCGCCCTCCCGCATCTCCTCGCCCTCCCGCATCTCCTCGCCCTCCCGCATCTCAGGATACTGGGCGCACTCGCCTGCTCCATTCGTCACCGTAACAGGAACGGCAGACTGAGCAGTCGACCTTGGAACAGGATTATAGTTAACACTGGGAAACCACGGCAGTCCTTGGTCCTTTGGCCCATGTAAGCTGTGCAGTGACAGGATTGAACTGGTGTTCCTTCTAGCTTCCCAGTTGCTTGCTCTCACGTAGCTAAAATGAAAGAGGAAAGGAAAGGTGTACTGCAAAGAAGTGGTAGAGTGCCGTGGAAGCTTGTGAGTGTGGTCGTGTGAGGACAAGGCAGTGGCCGTTCCGACAGAGTTGCTTCCGTACCCCGCCCCCGCAAGTGCTGTCTTAAGGGGAAGTGGTTCCGTCTTAGCTGGTTTCAGACCCACTGAAGGGGCGGCGCAGAAACCTGAAGGTGTGCGAGACAGTGTAGTGGGTGTTTCACACCCACTACACTGAGTTTCACAACTCAGGGAGTCGGTCCGTAGATCAAAAAGATCTGGGTAGTATTTCCATTAGCCATGTGACTTGTCTTAAAAAAGGTAGGACGTGGTGAGGAGCATTTGAAAAGTAGTACAGAAAAAATACAGGGAAAAGTAGAAATGAGGCATTTTATCAAGTTTAAAATAAGTTATGATGAGTGCTGTGTGTGTATATGTGCATATATACATGTATTTAAACTTAAATCTTTTTTTTCTCCATTTCCACAGTGTGTTCATTACCAACAGAGGTAAGTTCTTCTAAAATTCTTAAACCTCTGCATTTGAAGTCTTTGATTTTGTAGCTAGCTTGAGAACTTATTTTTCATTTTCTTTTCCTTTTTTAAAAGAAGATTTTATTTATTTTTAGAGAGTGGGGAGGGAGGGAGGAAGAGGAGAGAAAAACATCATGTGAGAGACATTGATCAAACAGTTGCGTCTCGTGTGACCCCCAACTAGGGACCTGGCCTCACAACCCAGGCACGTGCCCTGACCAGGAATCAAACTAGCAACTTTTTTGGTTCGCAGGCTGGCGCTCGATCCATTGAGCTATACCAGCCAGGGCTTATTTTTTATTCTATCATTTGCTAGTAGATATTCAATCTTTTTTTTTGGGGGGGGGGTCCTTTTCGGTCCCGGTGCTGGGCTGGTGGCAACCAAGGTGTGTTCGGGGAGCCAGGGGTGTTTGGTTTTCCCGGGCCCGCCTCCTCCACGAGCTCGGCCTCTTTTTATACAGAAATTCGGTTTAGAATACTTTTATGGTCTTACAAATTGTTTTCTTTAGATTTTGAGTCATGTGTACACCTTTTGGGCTCGGCTATCCAGTTTAGATTTCTACATGGAACTCATGAGAAGTCAATAAAAACAGTAGCCAATAAAACAAGAGTAATCTTAATGCCAAAATTGGAGGTACAGACAGAGGAAAGCGTGAATTACGAGTAAGACTTCCATTAACAAGCTTCTCAGTCAGGCTTTCTGGGCGAGTCATGAAAATGATGAGACACCTGTGCTCCCAGAGCAAGAAGTAGACGCTTGTTTTTATCTAGTTGCCTTTTTCTTATGAGCCTTCTGTTCGACGGAGAGAAATCAGTCACTACAGTGAGGCAGGGCCTCGTTCCTTCTCAGTTCTCATTTCTTAAAACTCAGCCAGGGTGTTTCCTGGTTGAATGTGGATTTCTGTGGATGAGACGGCAGGTAGGAGTAGTTAGTTTTGTTCTTTACGTAGCAAGTTACAAGGAGTGGTTGTAAATGAAAATGTATTGGGTGATTGAAAATATTTTGTGGTAACAGTCTGTTCTTTTCCCCCCAGTACTGTGAATATATGCCCGATGTTGCTAAGTGTAGACAGTGGTTAGAGAAGAATTTTCCGAATGAGTTTGCAAAACTTACTGTAGGTATGAACTTTTCTTCCTTTCGTTAAAGCTTACGTGCCTGAAACAAATGCACATACGACATTATTTTAAAGATATGAAAGTCTTCCTTTAGTAGGGTAATTACAGAATTATAATCTTTCTGTGAACTTTAAAACTATTGTACGATGTTCTTAGGTTAAAATTCGTTATCGAAAATCACACAGTGCTTCATGTGTCTTCTGTCTGAGACAGGGTGTGTCCAAATGTCACCTTTTTTATGTAAAGGATTAAATCATCTAGAGGCAAATATATTTTCACTCATTCATTTAACAAATCATTTTTTGTGAGCGTATCACATGCCATACACTGTTCGGGAAGCCGAGGATAAAGCAGTATGCAAAAGGAGTGTTTGAAAGTTATGTCCTAGAAGGGGAGATGAAATGGAACAGATTACCTGATTATGTTAAGTAGTGATAAGCAGGGAACGAGGAGATAATTACTGGAGAGGGGATTTGACATACTAGGGAGTGGCCAGGAAAGACTTTGCTGCAAAGACGGCATTGGAAGGGAGTGCGGGAGCGAGGTTCAGAGCCCGGTGGAGACCACCCCAGGCAGGGGCACTGCTGGGCACAGGCCCCGGGACCAGTGCGCTCAGCAGCAGGGCGGCCTTCCTGTGCAGAGCTTACTGAAGGAGGGAAGAAGGGTCCGAGAGGAAGTCAGTGAAGTAATGGCGGACCACCTCCCAGCGGCTGAGCGTTTTACTTGGAGTGAGGCGAGGTGCTGTCGGAGGGGTTCCAGTGAAGGAGGGGGAAGCTCTGACTTAGGTTCAGCAGCACCCCTGTGGCTTCCGTCTGAATAGGCAGAAGGGGCACAGGCAGCAAAGCAGGGACACCAGCTGGGGGGGCCTGCGGGAGCCGTTCAGGACTGGGTGGCAGCCAGAGCAGAGTGGCAGTGGTGGAGGGTGGGGAGTGGTCCGGCTCTGCATACATTTTGAAGGTAGAGCTGACAAGGTTTTCTGATGCCTTGCCCGTGGGGAGTGAGTAAAGGGGCAATCTGGGGTTCGGGCCAAAGCAGCGAGACTGGAGTTGCTGTTGGCGGAGGTAGGGAAGCGCGTGGAGGAGCAAACTCGCTCCATGGAGACTGACTGGCGGAAATGAAGGCGGGCGCGGGGCGGAGGGAGAGCCGGGGCTGGGCAAGGCCGGTCGGGCACCTGTGTTACTCCACCGGTTGCTGCTTTGGTTTCCGCATTGTGCCCGGGTGGCAGGCCCTTGTGGAGGTGAGCTGCATAGCCACCACCACCAGCGGCTGGGTGACAGCCCGCAGGCCTGGTGCTTCGGTCAGTCTGCTCTGGTGGCCTGGGGCACGATGTGACCTGAGGAGCAGGGGTCAGGGGTCTCTTCTTATTGGAGACCAGGCTCCTGTTAAGAAGATCAGCGTGTTCAGGTGCCTTCCACTCCTGCACAGTCTTGAGTGTGTTACACTCCTTTCACGTGGCTGAAACAAATTGTCATCACATAGCAAAGACCGTGTTTTGTCTTCTGTCACCAGACACAAGGATTTCAGAATTCCACTGGAAGGACTCGAGCAGTATAGTCCTTTGCTTTATAAATGTCACACTCCATTGTTGATGAAATTACTTGTTTGTGTATGGGGTTGCTCAAAGGTGTTTTTTTTTTTTAAATTAGGAGGAAGTGGTGTTAATGCTTTTGGGCTTTGTTTTTACATGTAGAAAACTCACCCAAACAAGAAGCTGGAATTACTGAAGGTCAAGGGACGGTGGGGGAAGAGGAAGAGAAGAAGAAACAAAAGAGAGGTGAGACCTAAACCCACGATTTCGATTTCGTGTGCATGAACCCGCCCCCCGCACCAGGAGGAGTAGGTCCCGGAGGCATTTCCAGAGTGAGCGGCCGCTGCCTGTTCCCGCAGGTCCCCCGTGGGTTGCCCGGGGGTGCGGTGGGGAGTGCAGATCTCACTGTCGGGGGCTAGCACGAGGCAGAGTTTCACCAGTAAATTAGATCTAAGAAAACAGACAACAGACTTTATTTGCCATGTACACATAAAAAGCAAGCAGCCAACTCGCTGATGAATTTAAAACTTTATACAAAGTTTTTCTCATTACTTCTGATAGCTGGGTGGAATTTCTCTCCCTTACTGATGGGTCCCGTGCCTGTCTGTCCTGGGACTAAGTCCTTCCTTTCTGGGTCCGGTCCCTGCCTCTTCTTCCTTCTCTGCTCTGACTGAAACTGGCTTATTGAGTATTTTCGGGACTTTGCATCTTGTAAGAAAGTGTCCCAGGAGCCCGCGTCTTCCTTTGCCTTCTCCCTCTGCCCCCCTTCCTAGCCGGGCTCTTCAACAAGGGGAGGCCGCTGTTCTGTCACCACTGCTCGCTGCCCACTGCGCTGACCTGACTTGCACGCCGGTGCAGCCCCTCTGGTGAGGGTCACCAAGGGTGCAGCAACTGCTGAATAATAAGGGCGTGTGCGCACTCCCCTCGTGGAGCGTTGTGCTTGCTCGGTTTCTCGTCCTGTAGCGAAGACTTCTCTCGTCTTCCCCGCAGACTTCTCATCTCCCTCCCGTCTCTCAGAAGTTGGTGTCTCCCAGGACTCTGCCCTCTGACCTTTTCGTTCTGCATGTTCTCCTTGGGTGAATCTTCCACGCCCATAACGTCTGCCCCCACTCGACACTCACAGTCCCCAGTCTGTATCTCTGGTCCTGGCGTGCGCCTCTAGACCGGAAGTGTGCGTGGTCCTGCCAGCACCTGAAGCGCAGCCCTTCCAAAATACACCCAGCCCCGAGGCTGCGCCTCGTTTCCCCTCGTCGGGTGGTGGCAGCACAGTGTGTCCAGTCATCTGAGCCAGGATCCGAGACCCGTCCGAGGTTCTCTCTTGTGCCTCTTAGCTCCAAATTCTCTTACTTTTCTTTCTTACTTATACTCTGTTCTGAACCAGTAGTTGCCTTTGCTTTGGTTTCGATTTTGATTCATTTGCCTGAATTAACACAGGCGCCTCCTCAGTGGCCTGTAAGCCTTACTCTTCACAGACCCACCCTCCACACGAGCGTGGTCTTGATAAAACACCAGTCTGGTTATTTCATTCCTGCGTAGCCATTCAGTGGCCTGTCTTCTTCCTCAGTGTAAAATCAAGTAGCGAAGCTTGATGCATCATCCCTTCTACGACTGGTGTGTGATCTTCTGCTTCTCTGGCCTCGTCTGCTGCAGGTCCACGCGGGCCCTTCGCCAGGACAGGCGCAGCTCTCAGACACGGTGTCCGTTCAGGTCGCCAAGTTTGCTCCGTTTCCCTGGAACGTCCCTTTTTAAACTTCTCCAGCGGGGACAATTCCTTATTCTGCAAGAGCCTAGGTGCCACTTCCACTAGGAAAGTGTCTGTCCCTCATAGCAGCGTCAGCCACTCCTCTTCCACAGGCTGTATTCACAGATCCTGCTGCTGTAGACAGTGGTCGCCATGCTCACTGAACTTCTTGTTTCACTTCACTGAACAGAAGCCTCGGAGGGGCAGGGACTGTGTTCTGTTCGTTCTGTCAGTGTTCGGCATGTGTTACTTACATATTTACTTGTTTATTTTAATATTCTTTTTTTTTAAGGTTTTATTTATTTTTAGAGAGGGGAAGGGAAGGAGAAAGAGGGAGAGAAACATCAATGTGTGGTCGCCTCTCACGGTCCCCCTACTGGGGACCTGGCCCACAACCCAGAAATGTGCCCTGACGGGGATTGAACCGGTGACCCTTTGGTTCACAGGCCGGCTCTTAGTCCACTGAGCCACACCACTCAGGGCTGACTTAAATATTTATTGAAAGAATACTCATGCATGGGTTTGCTAATTTTGTATTAGAAAGAGACACTTCAAAAATTAACTGGTACCTTTTCTTTTTTTTAACTTTATTTATTTATTTTTAGAGAGAGGGGAAGGGAAGGAGAAAGAGAGGGAGAGAAACATCTGTGTGGTTGACTTTCATGCGCCCCCTACTGGGGACCGGGCCTGCAACCCAGGCATTTGCCCTGACTGGGAATTGAACTCGAGACCCTTCGTAATTGGTATCTTTTCAAAATAACAAATTTAAAGATGGTATTCTCTAATTATGTTAAAAGTGAAACAGTAGCCCTGGTTGGCGTAGCTCAGTGGATTGAGCGTGGGCCTGGGAACCAAGTAACCACAGTTTGATTCCCAGTCAGGGCACTTGCCTGGGCTGCAGGCCAGTTCCCAGCAGGGGACACAGGAGAGGCAACCACACATTGATATTTCTCTCCCTCTCTCCTTCCCTTCCCCTCTAAAGATAAATAAAGTATTTTTTAAAATTCTAGTAGATGCTAGTTTTAAAAAAAAGTGAAACAATTAATGCTCAGCTCTTTCTTAATATATCAAGGTGGAAGGGGTCAAATAAAACAAAAAAAGAAGACCGTGCCACAGAAGGTCACGATAGCCAAAATTCCCAGAGCGAAGAAGAAATACGTGACGAGGGTGTGTGGCCTTGCAACTTTTGGTGAGTTTACTCTCAATCGTGTTTAAAACGTGAAATATATGTGTGTGTTTTTCTCTCTTTTAAAGGTCTGGTATCATGAAAATTTCACAGGTCTTTTTTTAGCTTCAAAATCAAAGTTTGAGGAAATGTTACTGTCTTTTACAGAGGGAACTGGTTTACTTTTTCCTTTCCAGAATTTCTGCTTGGACACATTTTATGTAGAACGAGGAGGGCGAGGTAGGGCTCCCTCTGAAGCCAACCAACGCCGCCTCCCTGGCCCTGCAGGCTTGGTGGTGGCGGAGGGTCAGGTCCCGCTCCACCCCCAGGAATGTCCGTTGAGGGGAGGGAAGGCGGTGGGTGCGGAGGGACAAGCTCCAGAGCCCCGGCCGCTCCCGGAGGCCCTGACTGCACAGGGGGCCTGGGGGACAGCGTGAACCATGGGCCCCCCATGTGTCAGCACAGCGAGCAGAGTGCTCGCCGGGCCACACTGTGAGCACGAGAGTGTTTCTCTGCTGTGAGCTGTTTTTTTTCTAAGAGGGATAAACAGAAGAACTTCATTGTGTCCAGAAGCGCATAGGTAATGGAATTGTGTTACCGGGTTTATTTTGGCCTTACTGTGTGTGAGTAGTGAATGCTATGGGCGATGCTGTTTTTATAGATTGAGGTTTTATTTGATCTTGAATCTTTGAATTTTTTAAGACCACCGAGTGTGATAGTAACTGTTGCTCTGAAAGGAATCTGAAACCCATTAACGTCATCTGTTTTATGAGTTTACCTTGCAGATCAAATTTCAAAATGGAAAACTCTCTTTGACATACAGTTCTCATTATAATCTTGCTCTTTTCTTAAAATAACAGAAATTGATCTTAAAGAAGCACAAAGATTTTTTGCTCAGAAATTCTCCTGTGGTGCCTCAGTGACAGGGGAGGACGAGATCATCATTCAGGGAGATTTTACGGACGACATCATCGATGTCATTCAGGAGAAGTGGCCAGAGGTGCGTATGTGGCCCACGTCCACCTACAGAGAAGTTCTGAAAGCAGGTTGCTCCCGTGTTATTTGATACCGCAACTCACGACCCCTGATTATCCGTGTTTTGCAGGTGGATGACGATAGCATCGAAGATCTGGGAGAAGTGAAGAAGTGATTTCGAAACTTTGTCTGTATTTAATGGTCTGAACTGAGAGTCAATATAGCCAAAGGGGGAGAGGCCTTTTGAAAAAAATATATATTTATCCTACAGTCAAACTGTAGACTCCTCTCGCCCTTGGCATTTTCACTGTTCTGTACAAGGCTGCTTGTTTTTTTTATTGCCAAAGTCTAATAAACAGGGGAGACTGTCATGCTGATGCATGAAATAGAATTTAGTCAAATAAAAACTTTTGGTCACTTGGTACTGACGTTTCTCTTTCTCTCTTTTAAACTTTTTATTTTTGCAAAAACACTGTAGACTTTTTGTGGGAAGTTTATGTGTATTTTTTTAAATGGTCATGATTTACTCAAATCAAGATTTAAAGCTGAATAATGTTTTACAGAATTTTAATTTGGCTTCATCGCCAGGAATAACTGTCTCCTTGCTTCTTTGGCGTGCTAGTCTCTAGATGCTTGAACCTCTCAGATCTGTGCGGGAGTCGGCCTCGTCACCAGGCCTACTGCGCGGGCGCGTCTGCATCCTGTTGGTGGGAGCTGTTCAAGCTGTCCTGGACGTTACTTGGTGAAGTACATTCAAAGCCTTAACGCCATCTGCACTGTTGGACCCAGTAAGCCACTCCTGTGACATTATCCTACAGGTGTAAGTCTTGTGTTCACCATGACATTACTCATAATATCAAAGAGATCACAGATGGTACAAATGAACAACTGGGAGGCGGTTAACGATGGCGCATCATGTGGTAGGGTATCACGCGTTGTCCAGAGTGGGAGGCTGAGAGTCCCCGTTCCGCCTACACGTGATGGTGTGATGTTCTGCTGACCCTTGCAGATCCTGTAAACCCACGTTCAGTGTATTGTCTGGGAAATAGCGGTTGAAACGTGTTTTTCTCACAAGAGAAACTGACAATTTTCATGAATGCACTAAATGAATTTAAACTTTGTTTTTATAAAGGTCTTAAGTCAGGTGCTACAAATTGAAAAGAAGACTTGTGGTATTTTAATTGCTCTAGACACCTTTAAGAAATTTCGAACCTACTGTTGAATGCCATGCAAATTTACAATCTCAAATGAATGTTTTTTTTAATAATTAAAATCTTAGAATGTGTAGTCAAGATGTAAATTTAAAAAAATTTCTGCATTAACTGAATTTTACTAAATATGATTATTGTATGATGAAGCAAATTTAGCCATGGAGACCATGTGATGTGTGTTATATGTGTATCCTGTTGGTGCCGGAAGATGTCTGTGGGCCTGTACAACACATGTGACTTCATGTAAAGATCCTTAATGTTCACAGTTCTTGTCAAACGCAGTTGCAGTCTGTGTAGAGGCAGCAGTGGGCGTCACTGCGGGGAAATGCAGGATTAAAACCGTCCTTGTGTATAGCACGTGTCAATCTCTTTCTTCAACCTGCGTTTAAAATGCAGCCTCATTTAATCTCTGACTAAGATAGAACAGGGATTGTTCTACCCGTAGAACAGGGAGTGACTTTAATTCATTCTCCTTATGTGTGTTTCATGGAATGTTTTCACAGTCTAGTATTTTTAGCAAAAGTAATACTACTTCTTGACTAGCCTTATCTCAGTATGTGTAAGAGATGTGCCGTGATTAAGTTGGCAACTTCAAATGCCAATACAGTTTTGATACGTAATTTTTATTTATTAAAGAAATAGATGCTGGTAGTAACTTTTAATTTCTTTTTAGTTATTACACAGAAACTTCAGTAAATCGGCTGTTACTTAAGATGTAATCCGTGGTGGCCTTGTCACTCTTAATTAAAAATGACTATTTTAAAGACAGTTCTACCTTTTAGATCTATTTTTGTTATTTGCTAGATTACTTATGAAATAGGGAGACTAGAAAAAGTCCATTAGATTGAGTATAAAATCAGATGCAGTATAATTCTTAAAGCTATCAGAAAACATTTTATATCATTTAAAAGTTCTCTTCCCCGGCTGGTGTAGCTCAGTGGATTGAGTCTGGGCCTGCAAACCAAAGGATCGCTGTTCGATTCCCAGTCAGGGCACATGCCTGGGTCGCAGGCCAGTTCCCAGTGGGGGATGCACAAGAGGCAACCATACATTGATATTTCTCTCCCTCTCTCCTTCCCTTCCCCTCTAAAGATAAGTAAATACAAAATTTTTTTAAAATAAAATAATAAAAGTTATATCTTCTCTAAAGATTTTCTTTTAAAAGAAAACTTAAGGAATGAACTTAAAATATTGAGGTTTTTGGTTAGCAATGTCGTAATACTCTTGCTTCATTCAATGAACATTTATCGGCCATAATGGTGTAAGTTGAACCACATTTTTTATCACCTGTACTCATACTTCTACAGTGAGTATTGGCGCGTGGTCAGCTGGTGAACAATGGCATTTTGGGGCTTCCTAAAAACAAACAAATAATGAATCTTATGATGGTGAAATTGGAAAAGCATTTGGATTAAAATGCTCCCCAAGGGGAGAACTGACATTCAACCACGTTCTGTTTGGCATCTCATCCCACCATGAAGCTGTATGTACCACATTGTAACCTACTGATAGGCTGCTTTTAACAACTAGTCAGAATTTTCTTTCTTGATTTTAAATTCGAAGACATGGACTTTGTTCTCTTAAACAAGAGCTTATTCTAAGGAGGCAAGTGTCACCCAAATCGGTAAAACTTGAGAGCAAGAAATTGTAATTTCGGTTTTCCATTTTCAGATTTTATAAACACAAGTGCGTGTTCTCCTAATTGCACAGTCGATCAAAAAGTAAAACTGAAATACTGTGAGACTATTTGCTAACCTGTCTTGCTGGTAATGCCATCCTAACCATTAAGGAGTAGGGGGTGGGTGACCAGGGTTTAAATGGGATAAGTAGTATTTTTTCACAGTTCAGTTCCTAGATGATGTGAAGAACAGAAGTGGGGAGAAAGAGGGACTATGAAACATCTGAAAAAGCTTAGGTTCAGCGCAGAATGTCATAAATTTTGTCAGGGTGAAGTTGCAAAATTCTCGTTGCTATTCAAGAGCTACATCAAGAGCCTAATCCCCCCCCCCCCCCGCCAAAAAAAAAAACAAACCAAAAAAACAAAACTTTTCTTTTTATGTGCGTTGCTTCGGTTTAGAGCTGTCTGCTAGGCTGCCCAGCAACTCTAACTAGAGCAGGGCTGGTCTGCCTCCATCCGTTCATTCCTATGAATGGCAGGCACTTTCTCAGCTCCAGGAACGCGCAGCAGCTGAGCGGACCCAGCGCACCGTTCAGCAGGGCAAACAGGTGAGCAACCCCGCGGGCATAACCCAGGGTGATGGGGACAGGAACAGCCTTTACTTGCTCCACCATTTACTGGGATATTGTAAAGAGCTGGTTTTTGCGGAAGGGCGGTGAATAATGGATTGATTGCACATCCCCACATGAACCAATGCTGACCCCTGGGCCCAAAGCTGGAAGCACCAAACATCGGGAGAGCTGTGTCCGCCAAGCTGCACGTGGTCCGCAGGAAGCCAGCTTCCCGCAAGGGGTCGCGCGCGGCCACCGTGGTCTCGCGAGAGTGGGGTCGGCTCAGCCTGGACTACACGGTAGGCTGGGGCCTCGCGCTCGGCTGGGCGGGCGGTTTGGGTGGGCTCGCTCGGGCCAGCCGAAAACGCGGGGCTCGGGGCCTCGGGGCTCCCCTGCCGCTCCCGGCAGGCGCGCCTATGGCGTTTCTAAGGTGACGCTGCGCTCAGCGCCTTTCTCCGGGCGCGGAGGAAAGACCTATGAACCCCTCGGCGACCTTCTTCGTCGGGCGCCAGGTGAGCGGCCGCCGGTCCCTCCAGGGTGCCACCTCCGGGCGCTGCGTGCTCGTTTGGCGACCTTGGGTGGTTTTTAAGGCAGGGTTCCTTCAAATTTAAAACAGTACCTGAGTCGTTGAGGAAAAACGGAGCGTCACGTCCGTTTTCTTGTCCTAAAAGAAACTCGTTACCCGTCTAGACGCTGAGACCAGTGGCGGGACCAGGTGATGGGGTCTTAACGACACACAGCGGGCATTGGTAGAGCTGCTGTTCTCCGCGCCGCCGGGCTTCTGGCCCTTATTTTAATCCACAGGAGCCCCATTTCACCAAAAAAAGCCCTGGAAGGGTGCTTGTCCCAGGTTTGCATTAGTCAGTATACGATGAGATGAACTTTTCTGTATACTTGGGCTATTGCCTCTTCTCCAATCCTAGAGTATATTGAATACATACTCCTTGCAGCGCGCTCCTTGCTCTATCCCCAGTAAATACTTGTTGAATGAATGAGTGAATGAACGAATGAATGAATGGCCCACCAAAGACTGGAATTCAAGTCTGATTGGAATCCCCTGATCAAGTGATTTGGAATCCCCTGACTTTTAATAACTGATTCATTCGTTGTTGTTATTTACACATCGTATTTTTCAGAAAGCCGAGTAATGTGATACACTGGGGCTTCTGGTAAACTTTTTGCTCTCGTCTGTAAGATAGAATTCTTAAAGTAACACGTTTAGTTCTTTATTTCATCCAGGGGGACAGCACCATCTTTCTAAATGTAACTTAACAATCTTAATAAGAGCCAGTGTTTGTGGAGTGCCTGTGATTTGGCAAGTTGTGTGAAGTGCTTCACAGAGCTTGTCTGGCGTAGTCCACACGACTCTTAAGAAGTCACAGCGCTGCTGTTAACCATTTTACAGGTGTGGAAACTAAGGCTTATTTACAGGGAAGTAACTTGCCCAAGGTTGTGTAGAGCCCCCTAGTGGCTGCTTCTGGACTCTCCCTGTGGTCAGATCAACGTCCCTGCACTAGACTTTTAAAGTGACCTGCGCTTAAAAGGGGATGTACTATAGATAACTTTGGTAGATGTGAAAATGGCATCATGGTTCTATGAAAATGTTCGTTTTTAGAAATGCATACTGAAGTATGTATGAGTGAAATGGTTTTTTTTTTTTAATTTAAAAGATTTGATTTTTTTATTTTAGAGAGATGGGAGGGGAGAGAGAAAGAGAGGGAGCGAAACACCAGTGTGTGGTTGCCTCTTGCGCATCCCCCGCCAGGGACCTGGCCTGAGACCCGGGCATGTGCCCTGCCTGGGAATCGAACTGGTGATTCTCAGGCCAGCTGGCGCTCAGTTCACTGAGCTACACCAGCCAGAGCAAATTTTTTTTCTTTATCAACAATAAGAAAATATTGAAACAGGTGGCAAAATCTTAATGGCAGCACATGGGTTCTGAGCATATGCAAGTGTATTGTGCTGTCCTCTGTCTTCTGTGTATGTTTCACAATTTTATTTTATTTATTTTTTTTTACAGAATTTGGGTTTTTAGTAGGTATGTTGAGTTTGCACCAATTCCAATAGTAAATTGCTCTTGGTAGACAGAGTACATGTGGATGTGTAAGAGGTAATGAGAATTATTTAACCAGTAATTATTGCATGTTTCCCTGGTGGTTCCAGAACTGCTGGGGCCAGGGCAGGGGTTCCATTGCTGACGGATACAAGGGGGAGAGCTGACTGCAGGGAAGCCAAATGCAGGGATGGGTCCACCTGTGATGAGCCAGTGGCGGTCGTACAAACGGTCCCACTCTTCCAGTGGCTTGCGTGGTATGACCAAGAGGTAGAAGCTGTGAGCAGCAGGTGTGAAGCTCGTTGTGTGTATTATTAAATACATGCAATTCTGGTGCCGTGTTATCACCAGTGAAGAAAACTTAGCCAATTTGAACTACTTTGAATTGGCAGCAAAAGAAGATCTAAGTAGGCTGATTAATGCTGTTGATTGGCTTTATTCTGATGCGAAACCACTTTCTGTGACTAGAACATCGGGTCAGAAGTTGAGATTTCCACCATCGAGAAGCAGCGGAAGGAGCTGCAGCTGCTCGTGGGAGAACTGAAAGACCGCGATCGAGAGCTCAATGACATGGTCGCGGTCCACCAGAGGCAGCTGCTGTCCTGGGAGGAGGACCGGCAGAAAGTGCTGACTTTGGAGGAGCGCTGCAGTAAATTGGAAGGTCAGACACGCACGCCGCAGCCGCAGCCCTGCTGCTGACACTTACCGGGAGGGCTCGTGGGGATGATGGGGGGGCATGTGCTGGCCCAGCGCCTGCCGTGCTGGAGTCTGGTCCCACTGACGGCAGGGGGACTCCTTGGTAATCACCAGCAGTGGAACAGGCAGACGCAGTGTGACCCACAGGGGGAGGGACAGAGTAGAGCTCCGGTTCCCTGGGAGTGTGGAGTGAACCTGGAGGAACTCAGCTCTGAGCTGGAACATGAGTATAGATGCTACAGGAACAGCCATTCTTCTTGAACTGACTCACATATTTTAAACTTTTGGTGCTGAATTTGATCCCAAGTGCCTAAAGCGGTCCTCTTTCCAGACGGTAGCAGTCGCAAAAATGGCTTGCATACACTTTTGTGTGCTCCATATCCTAACTGTTGCCCCTTTAGTGATACACTCGGTATTCTGAATATTCTGAGTATTCTGTTGGCGCTAGAGGAATACTGGGATGTCTGAGGGGAGAACCCCAGGTCTGGTCAGGAGAGAGAGAACTTACAGCTCCTTCTTTTTTCACTCATGTCTCACAAAGCGTCCTGCAAACATGACAGTGCACGTATGCATGACGTGCCCCCATCTTCAGGGGCTGCCCGGGCTTCCTCTGACTGCCCCACGCACGCACATGCGCACACACTGTTCACTGCGGCCCATGTGAGATGTGATATAATATTAAATCTTGTATGTGAGCATATTCAAGAACAGAGATTGCAGATTACATGTTGGCATCAGTTTCTGATTTCTAAAATGAGAAACTTCAGTAGGTATTTCATGGAAAACTGAATGGCCAATAAATACGTAAAAAGGCTCTCATTCTCATTAGTAATTAGGGAAATAAAAATTAAACCCCTAATGAGATACCATTTTACACCCACCAGACAGCCAACAGTTACCAGTTGCTGGTAGACATGTGCTGGTGGGCGTGTTGGTCGGTGCCCCTGCTTCGGCAGATCGCCCCACGGTCTCCGGTAAAGGCACGCACGGCACCAGCCCAGCGCCCCTGCGTTGGTGTGCCCACGGGCCACTGAAGGACCTTGTCCTGCGGAGATTCTGCCTCGGTGGGATGGGGCCCGGGAGTCTGCATTTCTAACAAGTTGCCGCGTGGTGTCCATGCTGCCGGCCCAAGGACCACACCTGAGTGACAAGGCCCCGGAGAAACGCGTGCAAAAGTGCACGGAGATGCACGCACACGGCCATTCGGAGCTGGGTTGCTCAGGGTGGCTGCCAAGCGGGAACACCCAAGTGGCCACCAGTAGCAGAGCAGATAGATGAAGTCCGGTATAATCTGCCAATGGGATATTATGTAGCAATGACAGGGGACAAACAGAGGTTACAGACAACATGGGTAAGTCCCAGGGGCACGGTCTTAAGTGAGACAGGCAAACAGAAGAATCCGTAGAGTTTTATTTGTTTGTGGTTCACAGTAAACCATGCAGGTTTGGGCAAAATGGGTTTACAGTGTGCCCACTCCCCAGTGCGGTAGTGAACAGTGATGCCACAAGAAGTTCAGTTTCCGGGAGGTGGTTATCGGAGGTAAAACAGTAATAAGAAGCACAGAAATGATGAAGATCAGGATGGTGGTTGGGAGAGAAACGTTCTTGGGTACCAGATCACACATCCATAATAAAAACTTTTTTTTTTTTTTTTAGATTTTATTTATTTATCTTTAGAGGGGAAGAGACAGAGAGAAGGAGAGATTGTTGTCCAGGGCGCCAGGCTTAAAAGAAGTATCCTGTAAAGAATTCTCTAGCACACTTACGGTTTAACCGTGCGTTGTAAGAGAGCGTCTTCCGAGTGTCGGCTCTGACTGCGGCCGAGTTACCGATGCACTTCCCCCCAGGTGAACTGCACAAAAGAACGGAAATAATCAGGTCGCTCACCAAGAAGGTCAAGACCCTTGAAGCGAGCCAGGTGGAATGCCAGACGGCCCTTCAGAAGACCCAGCTGCAGCTGCAGGAGATGGCCCAGAAGGCCACCCACTCATCTCTCCTCTCTGAGGACCTCGAGGTCGGTTTCGTTTTGTGCCAGGCGTCACTGGCCCAAATTCTGTTGTGTTTCAGTGGCTGAAAGTTCACTTTTAAATGTGTGCATTAAAAATGCATGCATGTGTGTAAGAAGGACATCCACCCAGCCCTGACGGTGTGGCGCGGTTGGTTGGAGTTTCATCCTATAAATGGCAAGGTCACAGGTTCAGTCCCCGGTCAGGGCGCATGCCTGGGCTGCAGGTGTGGTCCCTGGTTGGGGCATGTTCGAGAGGCAACCCAGACTGATGTTTCTCTCTCACTTCAATGTTTCTCTCCCCCTCTCTTTCTCCCTCCCTTCCCCTCTCTCTAAAATTACCTGAAGAAAGAAAGAAAATATATCCGTCTGTCCTCACAGTCTCGTGCTCGTTGTCTGTCGTGGAGATGAGGCTCCATCACCGCCCTTTTCTAACCGTTAGGCCGTCCGGTTCAGCAGCGTCTATCCTGGACCGACACTGCGTTGTTCTAGAAGGCCTGTCTCGAAGTCTGAGCTCGTACCATTGAGTTCTGGTCGCTTCCAGTTATGCTTTCGAAAGAACTGGGTCTTATTTGATAGGATGAACAGGCGTCTCCCACATGTTAGTGGCGTATTGGGAATAAAACCTGTAAGACTGGTTTCTCAGTGTTCAGTTGTAACTGGTCAGTCGTCGGAGATGGGAGACACGGCAAGAAAACCATTTTTCGTTCTAGCCTCTTCTGTCCTGTTTCACTGATGTTCGGGATAGATCTTAGTAAGGTAGTGAGTCTTCATAATTCATAATAATAGTACAGCTTTTATTTTATGCCTTTTTTCTTTTATTATTCTTTTTAGATTACTAGAGAGTTTCTAGCTATAAACGAAGCAAAAGCTATTCTAGAATCTATAGATCTGTTCAATTGAAAAATGGGAGTACTTCAGTCAGCTCAGGCTGCCGTCACAAAAATCATGGACTGGGGGGCTCAAAGACTAGAAATTTCTTTTCTCACAGTTCTGGGGGTGGGGGCCCGAGTCAGGGTCCCAGCGAGGTCGGTGTCTGGTGGTGGACAGTGCCTTCTTGTTGTGTTTGGGACGGAGGGAGTACGAAAGCGCTCTGCTGTTTTTTTTTAATTGTCTTTGTCTTTATTGAGTTTTATTTTAGAGAGAGGGAGTGGGAGGGGAGGGAGAGCAACACCGAGGTGGGAGAGGAGCATCAGCTGGCCGCCTTCCTCACGTGCCCCAGCGGGGCCAAGTCCACATCCCAGGCACGTGCCTTGACCGGGCATCAAACCAGTGAGTGACCTTTCGAGTCGGCAGGACGCTGCCCAGCCCACTCAGCCACAGCGCCTGGCACTTAGGATTCCTTTTCATGACTGCTTACTTGGCCCACTTTGTTACTAAAAGAAGTGAAAAAACGAAACAGAAGACCGAGCCCGGAGCGAGGCTACAGACAGGACGGAGAGCGTCCGTGTGGCTCACACCTGCGACTCACGCGCCGTTTCCCCGCAGGCTCGAAACGAGAACCTCAGCAACACGCTGGTGGAGCTGTCGGCTCAGGTGGGGCAGCTGCAGGCTCGAGAACAGGCTCTCACCACGACGATAAAGCTGAAGGTGATCTGGGGGGCTGCCCCCATTCGCTGGGTGCTCCGCCGGCCCCGGGGTCTAGTCACGTGCATGGGCTCCCTTAAATTCCGTGGCTGTGTGGCTGGAGGGGCGCTGCCAGTGTGGCTCTTTTTAAATTCTCCTTTTAGAAACGAAGGAGACAAGGTGGCGCCCCCGGAGCTGGGAGAGGAGGCAGGAGTCCACCTTCCGGCCCTGTGTCCAGCTCTCACGCTGCCCGTGGTCTGGCGCGCTCTCCCGAGTGACCCCTTGTCAGGCCCTGGCCGTCAGAACGCTGGTTAATGTTTTGTTTCTTTTATCGGAGGGAAAACCCGTTGCCAATCAGGCAGATGTGTGTGTAAAACATTACTGTTTTGAAGTGATCAGGGGCAAGCTTTCTTAAAGAGAAGGCACCCAATGCCTCAGAGTTGTCTCCAGTGAAGCAGTGACCGGCTGAGTGGCTCCGATGGCCGCTGTGGCTGCCATCACAGGGAACAACTCCCTGGCCAGGCTGTGGTCCCGATGACGGTGCTGACAAGGGTTGATGGCATCTGTGTCCGTGGACTTGGTAGGACTGCCGGGGGTTTTGCTGCTGGTCTGATCGCACAGTTCCCTCCGCTTCCGAATGGGCCACTCAGCTCTGTTCTTCTCTATCGCTGCTCCCAGTGGAGATGCGCAGACCGGGGGGCGTCTCCCGAGCGTGCCTCTGTGCGGGGCAGAAAGCCTGTCCTCGGCAGGAGGAAAGCCTGCTGACCGTGGTTACTGCATAGTCCACGTGGGAGAGGGAAAGTGAGAACGGGCACCTGCCGTTGGTATTATATCCTTTTAGAAACCCACCTCAACAGAAAGAGGCTCTGATCGGGGTAGGTCTGGCATCCGGCCTGGGGTCTCTTGTTTTGCTGAAAAGAAGGGAAGGGAGAGCAGGCCGAGCCTGGGGTTTCTCTGTAACCAGAGCCCAGGCCCCTCACGGGCCACGTGGCCTCCTGTTCCGGCACTTTCCCTGGGCGTCTGGTCCGAAGCTTTCTCAGGCCGTAGGCTACAGCGGGCTGTGCCTGGGGCCGGGCTAGCGGGCAGGGTTCCCTCACTGACCAGTCGAGTCATTCACTGTCGGCCGGGCTGTGGCTGGGGTAACGGCGGTGCCCGCCTCAGGGAGTGACTGTGCAGGCTGAGTGCGTCGCCCATGGACGTGCTTAGGACCGAGCCCAGCACCCGGGGACATGGCAGCGAACCCGACCCTCTGGTGTCGGGTCCTCGGGACTTGAGCGTCTCACGTGACAGCTTTCAAATTTGGCGTTTAGGACAAAGACATCATTGAGGCCGTCAACCACATCGCGGACTGCTCCGGTAAGTTCAAGCTGCTAGAGCACGCTTTACGCGACGCCAAGATGGTGGAGACCTGCATCGTGAAAGAAAAGCAAGACTACAAGCAGAAACTGAAGACCCTTAAGGGTGAAATCAATAAACTGAAAGGTAAGGAAGAGACAAAATTTAAGCATTGATCGTGGGAAGAATCTATTCCTTCATTCGGGTCCACTTAGTCTCGTGGTGGAGAGTGGGCCCCGGCCGGCGTCAGGGCCTGCTGCGAAGCGTTCATTGCACACGCGTGGAATCTCGCTGCCGTCTTCGTCTCCAAGGTAAGTTGCAGAGTTGGGGGAGCCGCACGACGCGCTGCCTTTGTTGAATAACCCTGCCGCTCCGCACCTGTTACCCACTGCCGGCTCACGCTCCGTGACAAGTGGAGGATTGGACTCCCAGTCAGGGCACATGTCTGGGTCACAGGCCAGGTCCCCAGCTGGGGGCGTGCGAGAGGCAACTGACGGATGTTTCTCTTGCACATTTCCTGCCTGGGTGAGGAGGAAGAATGTGGGAGCAAGAAGGAATGGCCACCAAGGATGCAATCTGCCCCTTGCTTTTGGTGCATGTTTTATTCTTTAAAATTCCTTTGCACTCTCCTTTTAAAAAGTATATATTTTTGATTATGCTATTACAGTTGTCCCATTTTTTTCTCCCCTTTAGCCCACTCTGCCCTGCACCATCTCTCCCTCCAGCATCCCTCCCCCTCAGCTCATGTCCGTGAGTTGTCCACATAAGTCCTTTTGCCTTCTCCTTCCCTATTTCCACTCTCCCAGTGGCTCCATGAACAGTTCTTTCTGAGTAGTGGTACTTGAAGTCTCCTATGAAGCGAAGGGGAGGTGCACGAAGAAAGTTAGTGCTCCGTGCCTGGGCGTGGGTACAGGTGATAGGGTCGAAACCTGAGTCTGCCCTCGGAGGCTGTGGAGGCGGGGCTGGTTTCCTCTGGCCTCTCCCCGCTGTGGGACCAGCCCCTCCGAGCGGCAGAGCAGTGGTGAGGTGAGAGTGCCCCCACCTCGGGCCCAGGGAGAGCCTCAGAAGCGCTGGCAGGATCCTGTGGGTGCATTGTGGTTGCTTTGACCTGAGATCCCCAGTCTGGCTCGCTGATGCTCTGACTGGTGGCCAGTCCTGGGTCGGCCTCCACCGTGGCTTCAGCTGTAACCCGAACCACGTGGTGAGCCCCTGGCAGCCGGGGTCTGCAGCGAACTACATAGCCCCCAGGGGACAGTGTGGGCATTTGATTAATAATTAATTGAATGCTCTAGATAAGATTAATTGAATATTTATTAAAAACTTTTTTTAAAGAAAAATTGGGGCAATGGATCATGGACTAGAGAATGAGGGAAATAGACTCACTTGCCTTGGGTGGCCCGGGAAGGCATCTTTGAAGAGAACATTTAAGCAAATATTTGGGTAATGGGAAGGGCTACCCACATGAAGGCTGGGGCCAGGAGCCTTCCAGGCGGAAGGGACAGCAGAGGCAGAAGCCCAGGTGGGTTAGGACAGAACAAAAGAGGAGGGGGATGACAGGCAGAGCCAGGCCAGCAGGGCTCGGGGTCACAAGCTGGGGTTTCGTGCAGAGTGTGGCAGGACGGCTTCTAGCTGGCAGGAAGGTTTTTATTTTGGAAAGAGGGCCTGCTTGCCCGTGGACAGCAGGCATGGGTCCAGCGGGGACCAGACAGAGGAGAGAGGGCGCAGCCTCGACCTGGGTCATGGCCGGGTGCAGTGAGCTGCCGGACGGGGCTGCGCTCTGGCTGCAGATCCCACAGGACTTCCCGTTAAGTGGGAGGCGGGTGCTGAGGGCGTGAGAGGTAGTCACACTGTGTGTATCCTTCTCTGAACTAGTGCTTATTTGAGACCTTTCTTTTCCTTCTATTTGTGAAGAGGATCTAAATGAAAAGACAACAGAAAATAATGAACAACGAGAAGAAATCATTCGCCTCAAGCAAGAGAATAGTTGCCTGCATGATGAATTGTTTTTTACTGGTAAAAATAAATAATTAGTTTAAGGGACTGAGTACACATATATGTGTATCCTGAAATTCCTACAATACTACTATGGCAGGCTAAAGGAATTATCTTTCTCTCAAAATAGTTTTTTCTTTTTTTTAAAGATACTATTTATTTATTTTTAGATAGAGGGGAGGGAGAAAGAGAGGGAGAGAAACATCAGTGTGTGGTTGCCTCTCACACGCCCCGCACTAGGGGCCCAGCCTGCAACCCAGGCATATGCCCTGCCTGGGAATCAAACTGGTAATCCCTCAGTTTGCAGGCCAGCACTCAATCCACTAAAACCACACCAGCTAGAGCTTTTTTTTTAAGGCTTTTGAGGGGTTGGGGAGGACCAGGCAGGGACGTCTGAAGTCGTTATCATGTCTCCTGTTTAATTGCTTCCTCCTCTGTAAAAGAAGGTTTCCACCCTCCTGGCTCGAGCCTGTGGCTACACTTCTCACTGAATGTGCATTAAGAAAGGACCTTATGGCTCGGGCTGGTGAGGCTCATTGGGTTGAGTGCCAGCTGGGGGACCAAAGGGTCACTGGTTGGATTCCCAGTCAGGGCACGTGCCTGGGTCACAGGCCAGGTCCCCACGTGGGGACACTGAGAGACAACCACACACCAATGTTTCTCTCTCTTTCTCCCTCCCTTGCCTTCTTTCTAAAAAATAAATTTCAAAAAAAGAAAGAAAGAACCTTATAAATTAAAGAAAGAAGATCATTTATACTTTGGCAAATGCTATATAAAAATGAGCAGTTCAACTTTTTCCAGTTTTGCAAATAGATTACCTATAATTACTGTGGTTGCAGAAATAGTCACATGTTTTGTTACATTACTGAGACCCCAAAGTAAGAATGTTGGGGATGAAGTTTGCATGATTTAAAAGCAAGCGTCCCAGTAAGGGTTGGCTTTGGTCTCTTCTGCGAGGCAAAGCTGCACTCTCTCCCCCAGCCTCCCCCCGACACTGGTCCCCTCCCTGCCCGGCCCAGCCTCTCAGCCCCCCTAGTGAGAGCCCCTCTGGTCCCTGCTCCCTCCTGAGAATCTCGGGTCTGCAGGTCTTGTTTCTGTCCCTGCCAGGGGGCCTCTGATAGGCTTTCATTTCAGTGCATTGTATTAGGAAAATACAGGTTTGGAGGTAAAATTCCAGTAGAAATTCAGTAAACATACCTTTGGTGTACTTACACCTATATGCCCTGCCCTAGGAAGAGAATACATCTCTATCGTTAAAAGGGCAAATGCAGCATTTTATTTTTTTAAATTTCAAACAATTTGAATGTCATGTGGAAACGTGGCTTCTCACCACTAGAGGTCACTATATCCATTAGGATAGCTGCGGCTGCAAAGTACTGTCACACTGCTAAGGACATAAGTAAAAGCAGTGTATATCTTACTGTATACCGATTAGCCATACACATCTATCTCTATATCTGTGTATCTATGTCCAACAATCTCTGGATCAGCATTCGAGTGCCGGGCACACTCTGCAGTCTGCCAAGAAGCTCACAGGCCCGGAGAACGCGGTGCACGCATGAGAGGAGCCGTGGGCGGGCTGTTCCCGCAGCCTCTCTTCTTTTTGACTCTCCGAGTTCTCTTCCAGCCTATTATTATTTACTAAGTAAAATATTTGGAATTTGTTAGTGCCGTGATAAACCCAGTTTGTGAAACAGGTTTTTTAATTATTTGCCAAGTGGATTTCTCAAACGTGTTTTCTACTCCTACTACTGTCTCAGTATAGTTTTTGGAAATGGAGGGGCGTGTAGTGATAGGGCCGATGAGAGCGACTCTGATGGCGCTCCTGTCCCCCACAGCGGAGAGGGAGAAGAGGAAAGACGAGCTGCTGGACATCGCGAAGTCGAAGCAAGACCGCGCCAACGCGGAGCTGCACAACCTGCGGCAGGTGCGTCCCGGGACGCGCCCCGAGCGGCCGGGAGGGGGCGTGCGTGCCGCGTCAGGTTAGGGAAAACCTGTCTGCAGCTTCTGTTCACGGGCCCTTGGGAATCCCGACGGCGCTACCTGTCATTCATACTTGGTGCGGCAGGTGGGGCCTGTTCAAGACAACGAAAGATGAGGAGACCGGTGGCGCTAAACTAGTCTCAGTGCTCACGCAGGGGAGAGAGAAGAGCAAAAATGTGTACCCTGTTTCTCTGGTCGCTGTCAGATCCGTTTTAGTGTTTGGAAGTACCAAATTGTTGACTCGGTTTAGTTTTATTGTCACACTTTACGTTGACTTATCAATGTCTACGGCAGATTTACGTGAAACAACAGAGTGACCTGCAGTTTCTTAACTTCAATGTGGAAAATTCTCAGGAACTAATCCAGATCTATAACTCGAAGATGGAGGAATCCAAGGCCCTGGAGTCCAGGTAACTTGGGACGATGCTGTCACTCGGGTCCCGTATTTTATTTTGTCGTTCAGTCAGCACTTGTTAAGCCCTTGCCGTGGCCAGCACAACACCTACTGCCATCCCCTAGGCAGTAGGCGGTAAATGTACGGGAGCTAACAATGATCATTTTAATCCCATTTGTACTGAGGCCTGGGCTTAGAATTCTAGACATGATCCTAATCCAGCCACTTGATGAAAGAAATTCATTTGTTGTTATTTGTCTGCTTCGTAGAAGGCTTTGCGGTAAGGTAGACAGGACAGGGATCGACAGTGTGTGTGTTCGTCGGTGCTCACGGTGCTGTAGGCACTGGACCGGAGGGGCCGGTAGAGGTGCCCAGGCCCCATGTGCGCCCAGGAGAGGGGACGCGCAGCTGCAGGAGGGGCCGGCTGGCTGGGGGGCGGCTCTGTGCCCCCTCGATTTCCCTTGTCAGTGCAGACCTTGTCTTTCCCCTGCAGTGAGCAGCGTGTGAATTCACTGGGTCTCCGCAGAGTTAAAGTGGAAATGTGTGAGCTGTGGTCTGATCGGACGGGCCACTAACTGTCCCACAGTTCACTCGAGTCTGCTTTTCGAAGGGGTCACGGAAAGGAGTGGGGTTCAGGGATGTTCCCCTCTGCTGCCCGGGACCCCCAAGGCTGCCCTGGGTTGACGGAGCTCCTTGCCCCCTGGGTGGCAGTTGCAGGACGGCTGCAAGGGCTTGGCGTGGACAGTGCGACTGAGGAGCCTGCACTTCCCTCCCAGGGCCTCTGCTGGGCGTCCTCACGGGTTGTGTCCCAGCCGCACCGCTGCTGCTGAACGCCCAGCCAAGCCAGCACCCCCACGTCGGCAGAGGCCCTAACACGCTGGCTCTTTTTCCTTTGTTGATGGAGGAAACTTCCAGACTGTAGAGAGTTATTATGAGTTTATTTGAGCCAAACCGATGACATATGCCAGGCAGCAAGGTCGCAAATGCACCAAACGACGGCAGTTTTGCAGCTTATTTGAGACGTAAGGCAGTTGCACGAAAGCCACCGGTGGTCAGTTACGGGGGCGGGAGGAGGCAGAGCAGGGCACTCGCTGGGGCTGGGTAGGAGGGAGAGCCAAGAGGTCCTTCTTGCACGCTGGCGGGTCCAGGCTGGTTCATACGGTCACGGCACAGAGCAGGTCCGCAGACACCAGGGTAACAGTGAGGGCCCTGCGGCCCGGGGCTCTGGGCCCGGGGCTCTGGGGCCGGGGCTGCCTTGGCCGGGGGGGGGGGGGAGAACAGGCCCACTCAGTCAGACGTCGTCCCCTGCTGAGGGCGCTGTGGGCTGGGACATGGCCACCCGCCTCAACCTGCCCAGTAAGGAATTTGCAGTCAGACTGTCCTCTGCGGTTACTTCTGGTCTCGGAGCTTGTGAGGCGGATGATGTGGCCCTTCCCACTCACACCGTTTTGTTCGTCATTGCCACTGGGAGGCACCGGGCTTGCTGGCGAGGTGGCTCTTTGGGAGCATCAAGTGGCCGATGCCATCCTAGAAGGAGGGGGTGGGTTTTCCGAGGGGTCAGACCCAGACAGATCAGAATCCCTGGATCCGTGTGACATAAAAAACGTTAAAGGACGTTTAAAAGGTTTGTCACGCGTATGCTGTACTCTTCATTTTTATTGTACCCACACGTGTCACCGGTGCCCGAAGGCCAGCTTTCAGTACACAGCTGCGCACGTCTCCAGCAGGTCAGCGGTGTGGCCGTGAGCGCGGTATGGCAGGCACACTCGGCACCGCCCACTCGGTCTCTGTAGCCCCTCAGTGCTGGCTCTGCCTGTGTTTGCTGTGACGCTGACGGAGGGAGGGACAGATCAGAGCAGTCAAGGAGGTGTGCAGAGCACTTAGAATGTGTCCGAGTCTGTCGCAGGGCCCGGGAAGATTAAAGGGGCCTCTCCACGTAAACGTGGGGAAGACAGAACACGTGGGACTCCGTGCGCTGGGAGCGAGGGTGTGGGCGTGGGGGTCGGAGAGACTTCTGGGGGCGCAGGCTGCACCTGGGCTCCGGAGAAAGGACGCGTATTCTTCCTTATATTTACTTTCCAACACATGGGTCTTATTAGGGTGCAGGTCGACTAATGAGGTTTGGGGGAAGTATTTGGAATGCTAGTGTCAAGTGTACCTGATAACTTCTGTTTTTGTAACACCACTGCAGCAGAGACCTGCGTCTGTCCGACCTCGAAAGCATCCACCCAAACGTCGATGTTAAGAGGGAGAAAAATCAGAAGTCACTGGTTAAGGACCAAAAATTTGAGAGCACGTTGATTCAGCAAATCAGGACAGACGAGAGCTCCTGCCAGGGGTGCGGAGAGAAACGGCTGCAGGTCGGCACTGCGTTTGGGGAGAGGAGCGTCGTTGCCGTCTCGTCTCTGTTCACAAAAGGCCTGGCGGGGAGACAGAAGTCTTGGTCTCTGGGAGGAAAACTCCCGACGGAACCGGAGAACAAAGACACGTCGTGCAGGATCCACGGAAAACCCTCCAAAGGTAGCGGAGTCGGGGTCCCGCCGGAAGAGAAGCAGGTCTCAGCAGCCCCGGCGCCACGGGCCGACGAGAAGCCGCTGCACGAGGTCAGCGTCTTCCTGGGCCTGGCCGACTGCCCCGGAGCAAAGCGGCCTGAACGGCTGGATGCCGAATGCCAGGGCCACATGGAGGGACCGGGAGCCCTGTGCTGCTGCAGAAGTGAAGGCTGCCTGGGCGACAGTGATGTGTGCAGGTTCAGGTGCTGCCACCCCAGTAACTTCATCATCGAGGCCCCGGGCCAGATGTCTGACACGGAGTGGATGAGCATCTTCAAGCCCGCCAAGCTGCAGCGGGTCGTTCGCCACAAGTCGGTGTGCACGTGCGCAGAGGGCGCCGGTGTGCCGAAGTGCCACCACTCCGCCAGGTCAGTGCGCCGCTGGATCCTGAACACCCCGGGGGGGGGGGCCCCGCGGCCGCAGCTGCGCAGTCTGCCTGCAGAGATGGGCAGGGTCCGAGGCGGTCTGTCTCCTGGGAGGCCGCCAGGTTCCTGACTCCGCAGACTGAACTGGATTCCAGCGGAAAGTCTGTACCCGGGATGGCCTCTGGGGCAAAGGAGTTGCTTAAAAACAAAGGCAGATGTCGTGAGAGTTGGGCAAATATGTTTTATTTAAAAACAAACAGGTGGGTCACTTGCTGCCGGTCTGGGGCTCCCGGCGTCCTGATGGTTGGGATTGATAAGCCGTGTCTGCAGGCCCAGACTGAATGCCTCTCGGGAACCCAGATGGGAGTTTCTCTCACCTCACCCACGGTCACCCGCCCTCTTAGAGACCCAAGTGCCCTGCCTTTGTGTTCCCTGTCCATTCCCCAAACTTGCTTAAAACCAGGTGGGCCGGCCTGAGAACAGATCCAGGGGCCTGGCTCTCTGCTGGGGAGAGACTTCAGAACTGACAAGCCACGGCCGCACCGCACTCACCAGGGGACTTCAGACACCATGGGCAAAAACAGTCCCACAGACCAGAAAACTCGAGTTTTTACAGATCGTACTGTGTTAGTTTTTCCCCTCCCTTTTGGTCGATTCTGGCTCCCAGTCTTTTTTATTTTGGGGGACAGGGGAGGAGGGAAATTTCTCTATTCTATCGTTACCCTTTAAGAATTTTGTTTTAGTTATTGCAAAGGGGATGCATTAATTTATATTTCACTCAAATGTTTATTCACATCTATAATGTGCTACTCAAACTTGAGCTTCTTCATTAAAAAAAGAGAAATCACTTTTTTTGGTGCTGTTGACACATTCTAAGTGTAAGAGTGTTGGTGCCGTGTGCTTGGTGCCGATTTAAGGTGTCTGTCTCTGTTTGGTCTCATCACTCGCAGCGAGCTCGTGGCCGTCCCGCATTCCCACCGTTTGGGCTCCACCCTACAAGAGGACGAGAAGGTGGCGGAGACAGAGTCCTCTGCTGACAGGAAGAGCTCACCGAAGATTCTGTCAGTGAGCAGAGAGGCAGCGTCGCCCAGTGAAAAGGTTTGTGTTTCCCTGGGAAGCACCCAGCGCGGTCCCGCGGGACGTCTCCCCACGCACGTTCAGTCCTCCTCCAGCGCAGCAGTTAACCTGCCGCGGTTCGGCCGGGCCTCGCTTTGCTGTGAGTCACCGGACTGCGGGTCACAAACGCCCTACGGACGGGCTTTGGGCGGGATGTCCCTCAGGCTCTGCATGGGATCCACGTGTCGGTTGCTAGTTAATAAACATCTTAAACATACAAAAAAATGTAGATTATAACACGCAGTTGTGTAACATTCAGGTTGAACATGTTTCATTTTGCCAAAGTTGCTTTGTGTTTCTTGTTAAAGTGTGACAGGTGCAGCCTGACCCCCCCCCCACGCCCCTCACCGGCCGACCACTCTCTGAAGCTGCTGCCGTGCCGCCTGCCCTCGCACTTCGGTGACACGGGAGTCCATTCTTAAACGCCACCTTCTGTCGTCTTGTGTGTGTTTAAAATGTGCGCACATGGGAAAATACTGTGTGTGCTGCAATGTGGCTTTCCGACTTTGTCACTGTTCCGCGGCGTCTGTCCGCTCCGACACGCGTGGGCCTCGTCCCTACGTGTGGGTTGTTGCGTGGGGTGTGGTCTGTTGATCGAATGAACCACGGCTTGCTGGCCTGCACCCTGAAGGGCGCGAGGTTGTTCTCACACTGTCACTGTTGTGACCGAGCCCGTGTCGTCCTCATACGCAAGGTCTTCTTTGAAGCTCTTCCACCAAAGAGAACAAGTTCAAGTCAACTTCGTTACTTTTGGCGTTACGATGGAAGACTGTCTGGCTTGGAGACCAGACCGATCTGGGTTCAAATCTCCCCTTTCGCTCTCTCTCAGCCCAGTGCCCCTGGGAAAGGTACTTGGTTTCTCGGAGCCTCAGTTTCTTCCACTGCAGATACACACCCAGAAATAACATCCCACAGCTTGGTCTCCCTGAGCGGGCGTCCGGCCTGGCTCCGGGCGGGAGTCTGCCGAGCATCAGTTCTCTGTCGGAGCGCGACCGTGGCAACTGCGCCCAGGCCCTGGTGCGGCTGCGACTTCCACTCACTGAGCGTGGGGATGTGAGCGGCGCCCCCGCTTTGGAAAACACTTCGGTCGTTTCTTCAGAAGCTCAGGAGGCGCCTACACGTGACCCACAGGCGTGGAAACAGGTCCACACAGAGACCTGCACGCGAGCGCTCCAGCCGTATGTGTACCCGCTCGAACACCAGGAGCACCCCACACACGCACTGGTAGATGAGTAAACGGTGGCAGGAGTAGAGCGCGCCTCAGCAATGGGAGGAAGTGGCTGCGCGCACACACGCCGCCTGGCGAGTTGCAGAGTGACTGTGCTGAGTGACAGGCAGGCAGGCGAGGAATGGGTTCACACGAAAGTGCAGAGCAGGCAAACTGGTCTCTGGGACAGAAAGCAGATGGTGGTCAGCTGCGAAGGGGGCGGGACTCCAGGGACAGGCTTCCCAGAGGGCGCGGGCGCCACCCGATCCGTACAGTCCCTGCCCACGCAGGGTGACTGCGCAGCGGACGCGATCGGGACTCCTCGGGCTGCGCACCGCGGCTGCACAGTCAGCGCAGGTCAGTTCTTCCTGCGAGCGGTTAGTTTCTTAAGGCTGTACGTGCGGCGGGAAGTGCTGCCTGTCACCTGCGTGAGCTCCTGAGAGACACTGTTTTCAGTGTTCGCGCCTGTTCTGCCGAGGCGGTGTGTGACGCTGCGTGCCCACATTGTCCGAGCATGTCTCTGCATGTGTGTGTGTGTGTGTGCGCGCACATTTGGGGTGTACTCACTAGCAGATGCTTTGCTACACATCTTTCAGGTCCAGGTCAGCAGTAATCACTGTTTATGGAAAATTGGAAATGAGCCTTTCTCAATGAAAAAAATTAGTATTGGTGCTTTTGAGAGCAGTCGGCATGCTAAAAGTTCAGATCCCAAGGTGGAACACAAAACAAGAGCCAACTAAGGCGCATTTCTACATATTTTTAAAAGCTTATATGCCTTCAGTGTTTTGTATTTTGCAAGTATTCTGACATTGTAATTACGGCTTTGCCTGGAGTTCTTTATCATGTGGATGTTGCTTACTTGTAGTGAAGTCTGTTTAAATCGTTATTTAGTCACGTGGCTTCTGAGAAATAAATGGAATTGGTTATTCTAGTAGTTGTTAACCCACAGTCAAAGAAGGATCGTATGTTATTGTAGGTTAACGTCTGTGTCTGTGACATCGCATCCGTGTGCATAAACATTTAAAGACGCCTCTGGAGCTCACGGTGCTTCCGCTGTCTTCTCTTCCAGGAGGACTTTTCTCCCACGAGTAAGCTTCAGCGCTTGCTGGCGGAGTCCCGGCAGATGGTCACAGACCTGGAGCTGAGCACTCTGCTCCCCATCAGCTCCGAGGGCCTCGGTGGCGGCGCCAGAAAGGTGCGTGCTGGCTCTCCTTTGCCCCCGAGCGTGGCGTCTGCCTGCTCCCGTGCAGGTGTCTGTCGCTGGTCAGGCTGCGAGGGGAAGTTTCTTTACGTCTCTGGGGGACTCAGGTAGCACACTGGTTTTTGTTTTTGCTCTTAGCGCACTGGTTTTGAGGAAGAAAAAGTCATCCGCAAACGTCGCTGCACCCACGCTCCCTCTTTCTAATTACCTGGGCACGGGAGTGTAAATTCTTGGGGGTCGAAAAACCAGTTTGGTTACAGAAAATTTCGGATACACACAGAAGCACAGTGAACACGGCCGCCGCAGCCCTTTGGCTTTCTGCCGCATCTGTTCCCTCTCCCCGTCCGCACGGGGCTGCCTCTGAAGCCTCGGAGGCCAGTCCTGACCAGCACTCATTTCGCCCACTGTCCCCAGCAGATGAGGACGCCCAGCCAAACCGAAGATTGTTCTTCGATGTCCTCCGGTGACTAGTTCACGTCACGGTTTCCTCACGTCTCCCGAACGTGTCCTTTTACTCCTTGTTCCGCTCGCTGTCCACGCAGGGTTTCTGCTTTGCGTTCGGATCTGCCCCTTAAGGTCTCTCTCAACCACGAGCCCTTTCTTCTCCCTCCCTTTTCCCTCTTCTTCCTACTCCTTCTCCTTCTGCCTTCTTGTCCTGCTCCGTTTTCCCCCCAGTGCCATTGATCTGTGGAAGACACACTGGGTTGTTTGTCCTGTAGGGTCTCCCACTTTTGGGGTCTTGCCGACTCTATCCTCACTGAACCGCCGCCCCTGCCCAGACCAGTAATTCCTGTAAACTGGTATTTAGATTGAGCTGCTGATTAGACTCGGGATCGGTTTGGGATTTTGTTTGTCTGGGCCGTTCACTCCCTGACCCGCTGGCCGGCCCACCTGCTGTAGGTGCCCGGCTCCATCGGGAGTTCAGAAGGTGGTCAGCTTGACCTTTTATGCCGTCCGGCTCCCCGGAAGGCCGCTCACTGGCGTAGCGTCCCTCCGTTGGTCGTATTCCGACCTGCTCGGTCGTCAGGAATCGCGGCGTGGCGGTTTTCCAGGCCTGTCGTTCCCCAGGGCGTGTTTCGCGGGCCGGTTGTGACGGCCTTGTCTGCAGCTGCAGTGTGGCAGCAGTGCTGAGGGCTGTGTCGGGTCTGTAGCCTACACGTGAACCCCGAGGCGAACGTCGGGCTCAAGGTCATGATAGTTGAGGTCCCAGTTTTCCAATCTGCAAGATGAGGGTTTGGAACAGATGCTGTAAATTGAAGCTTCCAGGTACATTACTTAAGTGTGCTATGTGCCTCATTAAAGAGAAGAGTGTCGTAAACCCCTTGAATTAATCCTGGCTGGTGTGGCTCAGTGGATCCAGTACTAGCCTGCGAACCAAAGGGTCCCCGGTTCGATTCCCAGTCAGGGCACATGCCTGGGTTGTGAGCTGAGTCCCCAGTAGGGGGCGTGTGAGAGGCAACCACACATTGATGTTTCTTTCCCTCTTTTTCTCTCTCCCTTCCCCTCTCTAAACAGTGTGTAAGTAAACTCCTAAAAAGAAAAAAAGCCCTTAATTAAACTTTTTTGCCATCCCTGGCCAAAAACTACAATAAAAAAGGTCTGCAGGAACACTGAAATACTTTTCAAGAGTCAACTCGATGGAGGTATAATTTACCTTTCTGGACTCTGATCAGTTCCAGTGACCTGGCTGTCCTACACCAGTGCCGCACTGTGTGGGATACGAAACTCAGGGCCCTCTTGGCGGCGCGTGGTGCCCGTCCTGTTGGAGGAAAGCCCCGGATGTCTGCATCCAGGACCGGTTCCGAAGAGCAGACGCTGTCTTACCCAAGTTCACAGAGGCTTTCGTTGGAGGAAGTTACCCACGTGGGCAGAGCCGCTGCTCCCAGGCCTGGCCGCTGGAAGCACCCACCCCTCCCGAGACAGGATCTCTTTTATAGGGGGTTGAACCACTTGCTGGGTGGCACACAGACCCCCAGGAAGAACAGTGCAGTCCTGTGTCAGCAGAGGACATCAGGCAGTCATCACGCGCCACACATTCCGTGACCGCCCTCCTGGGGCTTCCTGGGCGGTGTTCTGGGCGGCCAGGCCTGGGCTACCAAGGGGCCCGCGTTTCCCAGACGCCTCTGCTGCTGGAGCCTCGCTGGGCTACGCGGGCTCCCCGCACGTCCTCTGCTCTTCATCCGCCACATTGTCTTGCCTCTTCCGGGTCGTTTGCAGAGCCACAGCAGTTGTAGAATCAACTGGGTGGTTTTTTAAAAAATCACTCTGACGTGGCGATTCTGTCGAACCCCCCTCTCAGGAGGACTCGACACCCGTGAACAGAGCGGACACGCCCCCGCATCCTCAGGTCTCCCCTCCTGCCTCTCACCGTGTCGTGTGGTTTCCATTGCAGGCGTCTGGCCCGTCTTTGTTAACTTGTTCCTGTCGCTTCCTCCGTTGACGCCCCTGTGCGGGGCGTTTTTCTGTAAGATTTTATTTATTATAGAGAAGGGGGGAAGGGAGGGGGACAGAAAGAGGAAGAAACATCGTGTGCAAGAGAAGAAACATGGACAGGTTGCCTCTCGCGTGTGCCCCGCCTGGGGACCAAACCGCAACCCAGGCTCGTGTCCTGACCGGCAGGCAGACCTTGCGGGTCGACACCCAGCCACTGAGCCGCAGCAGTGCGGGCACACGTGTACTTTAAGTCTTAGTCTCAGATTGTTAGTTGATGATCTAAAGAACCACAATTGCCTTCCGTAGTTTGCATCTTTTCTATATTCACCTGTTGCAGTAGTTGTAGATTCTGAGGATTTTGTACACAGACGGTGATGGAATTTGTGAGGAAGAATTGCTTCTTCAAATCTCTGTGTCCCGTGCCCTCTCCTGACCCCGCCGCTCTGGCGCAGGCCTCCCGGGCACTGGGGCGTCAGCAGGTGGCTGCGTGCCTGTTCCATTAAACCACGCCTCGTGTGTTCACGTTAGTGTCACAGAAACACAAGTCGCACGCGCTCGTGGTGGGTGAGCGGAGTCGTGTCCTGTGCATACACCGCCAGTGCCGTTGGAGCTTTCAAAGTGCAGACAAGAGGGGCTTGGTGGTGGTTTCCGGAAGGTTCTTTTCTTGACAAAATCTCTTGGAACCATTCGTGAAGCAGTTTATTGACGTTGGGGCAGAAGTAGCAAGGTTTTTTCCAAACAGCTTTCTTGAGCCTAATGTCCGAAGCATGACGTTACCCCTGTCACGTGTGCAGCTGGGCGGTTCTGGTGTGGTCACGTGGCCGTTGGATCCGCAGTAGGGTCAGAACAACTTCATCGTCCCAAAGAAACCTTGTCCTGCCCCCACCCTACCCCCCACATCCCCCGGCCACCGCTAGTCTGCTTTCTGTCTGTGGGTATGCTGGGCAGGCACTTTTTATAAACATTTTATTTATTTATTTTTAGAGAGAGGTGAGGGAGGGAGAAAGAGGGAGTGAAACATCAGTGTGTGGTTGTGGTTGCCTCTCCTGCGCCCCCTACTGGGACCCGGCCCAAAACCCAGGCACGTGCCCTGACTGGGAACTGAGCCAGCAACCCTTTGGTTCTCAGGCTGACACTCAATCCACTGAGCCACACCAGCAAGGGCACATTTTTTAAAATTTGTTATTGATTTCAGAGAGAGGAAGGGAGAGAGGGAGGGTAAGGGAGGGAAGGGGAGAGAGAGGAACATCGACTTGTTGTCCCACTTATGGATGCGTTCACCGGTTGGTATTTGTATGCGCCCTGACCGGGGATGAAGCTGCGAGCTGGGGTGTGGGGATGGTGCTCTAACCCACGGACACGTTGGGAGAACGAGGAGCACAGGTCCACTGGGCAGTGGACTCTACAAGCCCCTCCCCTTTGCTCAGTTTTGCGACAGGGATGCAGGGGGAGCTCCGAGCAGCCCGTCTGCCTCCCCTGGGCTTTGCCGGCTGTTGCCACAGACGAAAGTCTTACTTCAAGCCTTTCTCTGAAATACTCTCGACCTTTGTTGGTGGGGCGGGGGCGGGGCAGGAGGTGGTCAAACTCTCCTGGCAGGGACGGTGGCACTGTGGCCAGGGGACACGTCGCAGAACCGGCCCTTGGACGCAGCAGCGTCACTTGGGGAACCTCTCCGCAGACACACCTGCGTGCAGGCCCGTCACTGCAGCATTGCTTTCTAACGGCCGTGTCAGGGGACAGCCCCTGCCGGCCGTGGTCCACCCGCCGCAGGAATGTCACCTCGCCGCGACAGACCGAGGAAGGCCTGGGGTGTGGAGTGTTTCCATGTCGCTGAGTGGGATGCGAGGCAGTCTCCGTGTGTGCAGAGGGCGTGGGAGTCCGATCGTGTACGAGTATATGGTCCTTATTTTCAAATGATGTCAGTGTGTTAACTATTTAAAAAATATATCAATAGTTCAAAAACAGAGGAGGAAAGAGAGAGTAGACCGCAGCGTAGCCGGCCCCACCTCCTTCCCCCACAGCAGCTTCTGGCTGGGGGTGGGGGCGGGGAGGGGCGCAGCCTGAAACCGGCTGGGGTTCAGGCGGCTCGCTGGCCTGGACGCCCTGTCCCCGGTCTGGGGCTGCTGCGGTGGGTCTGTGGCAGCCGGCAAAGCCTGTGGATCCCTTTTAGAATCGTGTTTCTCAGTGAATAAGATAAAATCCACGGGACCACGAGATGCGTGGGAAGGCTGCTTGAGTAGAGAGGGGGCAGCGTGTGGAAAGCCCGGGGGCTGGAGCCCCCCCCCCCCCCCGGGGACCCCGGCAGGGCCCGGGTGAGGGGGCGCTGGGCCCGAGGAGGAAGCGGCTCGGCAGGGGGCTCGGCCCGCCAGCCGAAGTTCAGCGCCTGCGTCTGCCTGCGTCTTTCGGGCGGGCAGCCTCCTCTCCTTTCCTTCTTTTTTTTGTCTTTTAAACAAAGCTCCTCCCCAAACACCCAGCGGTGCCCACAAGCCCTCAGGGGCGTTTCGGGGCCTTTGGGGTTGTCATTGTACCGGTGAGTGGTGTCTGCGCTGAGGGCTCACCCCCGAGCCGGGGTCCAGGCTGACATGGACTCAGGCATGTTCAGGGTTTTCCAGAGCAGCCACGACACACATGGTGAAGCCAGCAGCGTCCCCGCCCCCCCGGCGACAGGCTGAGGGCCCCACTCGCAAGGAGGGGGCAACGTGGTGTGGGTGGGTGGGTGGCGGCTGTATGAGATTCCTTCCTTGTGTTTCATCAACTCCCCAATTAAAGATTTATTTATTTATTTATCTTTAGAGGGGAAGGGAAGGAGAGAAGGAGAGAAATATCAGTGTATGGTTGCCTCTCATGAGTCCCCTGCTGGGGACTGGCCTGCAACCCAGGCATGTGCCCTGACTGGGAATCGAACTATGATTGTGTGGTTCGCCGGCCCCTGCTCAATCCACTGAGCTACACCAGCCAGGGCCACGAGGTCTCTTAAAGGCACTTCTGCCGTATTTACATATAGGCTTCTTAAGTATTTTCTGCTTTTTCTATCCTGGTTACTAATTCGGGATTTGTTCTGTAGAACTTCGAAGTCTCAGAAGAGTCAGCTCCAAAAAACGCCTCTCAGTAACTGGAAAAAACAAAAGTCAGCTTCAGTGTTCTGTGTTCGTGGGTAAGTCACCTTTGCTTATCTCGCCTCCCGTCTCAATGGGCATTTAATGAGTAACTGGGGACACTGATTAGGCCGGGGACAGGCCGCACATGTGTGGGACCTGCAGTCCTTTCGCTTTTGTGTGACCTGTTTATGCGTGCCTTCTTGGTGTGCTCCGGGTAAAATGTCACTCACTTGTAAGACAAATGGAGATCAAAAAGTCCTTGTTCTAACTCCTAGCCTTTTCGACCTAAGGAAGCGACTGCACACAGCTTTCCAAATCGGGATCTGCAAGCCCGTGTCATCTGAGAGGCTGGAAGAGTCCTTGCATGGGGCTTCCAGTTACAGCACAAGGTGTATTGACCCAGGAAGCACTTTCTTGATCTGTGTTTCCTGCTATCAAACCTTCTTTCACACGCATTTTCTTTGGAGTCCAGTTTAAGTGAAAAGGTATCCGTCGTTTTAGTTGGTTTCCAGGAAACACGGTAAAAGCAGAAAGCTGAAGTCCGCCGCCCTTCCTCCCTCTCCCTGCTCCTTCTCTCTCTTTGCTGAGCAGTCCCCGCATTTACAGAACTTCGCATGGCCTTGTGTTGATGAACGTCAGATGTAGTTAGTGTTCCGGAGCCCGGAGCCCGCAGTCCGGCCGCACGGTGTGTGTTAACTTTGCGTTTCCTTCCCGCAGGTCTCCCCTCCCTGTGGAAGCAGGAAGCAGCCGCCCACACCTCATCCTTGACCTTGAAAGCAAAACGAGGCTTGTCCCCCTTCCTGGGCGCCCTTTCCTACCCAAGGGGAGCAGAGGCGGAAAGTTAATGTAAACACCTGTATTTTGTCTGTTTTCAAGTGAACCGTTAGCATACGTCAGAAACACTTTTCCCGTGTGAGGAAGGAGGCCTCACTCTCCGCTGTGCGGGTACCAGCTGGACACCAGCGGGCGAGAGGCCGACTTCCCTGCCCAGCTGCCGGCCACGACCGGACGCTAGAGCAGCTCTTTTCGGGGCGAACCAGAGAACCCCTATGTGTCGAAAATGCTGTTTTCACCCCC